GTGGAGAGCACGTGATTCATCTGCTGTAGTGGAGTGTTACGGGGGTAACTAGGCAACCAGTAGTGGGAACGCCCACTAGCGACCTCAATTGCCAGCCACAAGCGACAAGCAGCGAAAAAGTCGCTGGCGGTGTGAACGGGGCTTTAAAGATAAATACCTTTCTGCAGCAGAAAAAAAATACAACTATAATGATGTGATGTCATAAATATGCAAATGTCACAAGACTCTTTTGGACCAAAGCACAAATACAGACACTGGCACTAAATTCCAAACAGCATAAATGATGTCTTCACAGTTGTAAAAGTGCTTAATTCAGCCAAAAAAATAAATTTCTGTCATTAATTACTCATCCTCATGTTGTCTCAAACCTGTATGCCTTTCTGTCTTACGTGGAAATTATGACAGAAGTTAAAAAAGTAAAAGAGAAAACAAATAAATCATACATTTGTTCAGTGGTTTGCTTCAAAAACATTGTTCTTAGAGAACCATTCAAAAGTTTGGGGTTTTTAACCTGTTAAGCCCGCCCACGGGCCGGAAGGGCGTGTTTAGGCGTGTTTGTGCTATTTATTACCTTTGTTTTAAAACAATATTCAATCAACTATCATAAACTATATATCATTTGACAGCTAAAACACTCAAGATCCATGTTCTGAGCTTGTTTTTTAAATCAATACACCAGAGAGGAAAGGGTTAACATAAATGCTGAAGGACCGTCATTTAAACATGTACAAAGTGAACGGCCTATAGTGTATATACCTATAGTTCTGGTCAGCTTGGACTATTCCAAGAAACACCAGCACACATTTCAAGTTAAGAGTCCACTCTTCAAAATGCATCCCACTTTTTAATCCAAAACAACGAAAAAATAGGGGGGAAAACGAAAGATCCTCCTTTGTTATCCATTTTTCCCTTAGTGAATTTCATTCAAAGATATCGTGAGTCACTTTCATGTTCAATTTACCTTGTTTTACTCTGTTGCTTTATTATGACTCCAGAGTAACAAAGGGTCAAGTGTGTAGTTTCAAACAATACCAGGTTTATAAATATAGACCATAGGGTTCAAGAGCTACAGACATTTTTATTTGGGTATGTCGTTTTTCAGAAAATGCTCAAAAATAGGGGCGCACAGTAAGTGGTTAAAAAGAAGTTTCTTACACTCATCAAGGCTGCATTTAGTTTATAAAAAATACAGTAAAACAGTATATTTGTGAATTATTATAACAATTTTAAATAACTGTTTGCTATTTTACTGTCACGTGATCCTTCATAAATCAATCTAATAAGCTGATTTGGTGCTTAAGAAACATTTCTTACCATCAATGTTAAAATCAGTTGTGCTTCTTAATATGTTTGTGGAAACCATAATACATTTTTTTAGGATTTGATGAACAGAAAGTTCAAAAACAACGTACTTGAAATCTTTTGTAATAATGTACAAGTATTTGCCATTTTCGCTCAATTTAATGCATCTTTGCTAAAAGTATTAATTTCTTGCTGTAATAAATTCTTAAAAGTATTAAAATCTTTCTGACCCCAAACTTTTGAATGGCAGTGTACATGTGCTTAGAACTTTCCATTAGCTATCTATGCATAAAGGTAGTAAACGGAGTGTATCTAGCTTGTTCAGGTGTAGAAAAACAGGTCAGGTTTGTCTCTAAAACTACAACAACAACAAAATAAAGAAACAAAAGAAAAAACGTGTATTGTGAGAAAATATTTGAATGCACTCCATAGCCTGTAAAATAAACAGGAAATCATGAGGTTTCACCACACATGACCTCTTTGAATTATATCAGATAATGGTGGAAATTCTGAATCTTGTCATCGCAGCAAACCTGGTCCCCTTGAACAAAGAAATTATTTACTCATAAAATATGCACGGCTCCATGTTCACATGTTTACTTTGGCCACACGTCGCACCTTGCCATGAAGCACTGCGCTGCTACAACAAAGAAATTTGTTCTGCATCTGCTCAGAATAATCCCAGTAATCACAGTGCCGATTCCTCCACAGTTTTGATCCCTAATTGTGGAAAGCCTTATTTCTGACCACACACATCTTGCTCGAGCACTGTGCAAATAGGTGAACGGTCTCCTGCGAGTAATCACTACAAAGTCACCGACCAAGGAGTTGAAAGAGAGTTTAAGATAGCTATCTTTTTCTGGCTAGGTTTGTGTGTATGGGATAAATGTTGTATGTGTGCATGCATGCAGTGATGTTGACATGATTCTGATTGACCGGAAACGTTAAATAAGCATCTCTGCTATGAAAAGGGTCTCCCTCCCTTCTCTCTCTCACCACATGTGAAACCACACAACGTCATGACAACTGCCAAAATAAACCTCAGCATCCTCCAAAAGGAGAGTGCATGTGTGCGCTTCCCTGCCGTGCAACACGTCCATGCAGCGGTGTATTTAATAACATTTTGCAAAATCCCTGAAAGAATGTGCTCAGTGACACCACAGAAATGAATTTCAACTGCCAACAGCTACACCATAACCATCAGAAGATTCTCAGCGATGCCCTAAATTTCTCTCAAGAAGTTTTAAGTTTAAAGTCAAATATTTTGATGAGGAAAAAACGTTACTTGAGCAGAAAAGGCTTTTCTTAACTCCTGCATTTCAGTTAACCCTTTCTAAACGTTTGAAAGAACCAATATTTTCCAGTAGCATTATATACTCTAAAGAGAAAGGAAAAAATGAAATCGCATCATATGACCCCTTTAAGCATTTCTGGTCACATCTTTAACTCTGTAGCTATTAAAGTATGACTCAAAAGCTCTAAAAGGAACAGTTCACCCAAAAATGAAACTTATGTCCAAATCTTTAGGACTTTATATCGTGGAACACCATAAAAGTAGTCCATACAACTAAAACACTACATTCCAAGTCTTCTTAAGCCATACAGTAACTTTTTGTGACGAACAGACTAAAACGTACCTGCCATCAAATGCATTATCTGTCTTTCAAAAACATGCCTTTTTCTTTGAAGGACTGTGGTAACAAATTCATCCTTTGTACCATTTAAATCTTAATATTCTTGTCTCTAGCGTAGTAACTTAGCAAATATAAACAGATAAGCCTCCAAAACAACACGTCAATTGTTTTACACTCATGTAAGGTTAGCTTTAAGCTAAGCAACATAATCATCACTTGAAAATGCTTGCTTACAATCCTACATATGTTATAAACCTGGCTTCCACTCTGATTTCCAAAATGTTTCCAGTCTGACAGAACCTTACTGTAAAGCCTTTACTAGTTCAGTTCATCTTAAATGCCAATTCTCATCACCAAAAACTGCAACAAGCACATGCATGCATTTATGAATTTAACAAATTGAGACAATTTTCCTGACACTACCTGGCAAATTTCCAATCTAATGTCCAGAATGATTTGTAGCTTAACTGAGAAAATATTATTTTAACATTTGGAATCCCAACAAGGTTTATTTGCTAGTTTGAAATGTCACTGGTCATGCATGCATACGTAAACAAACAATCACAGATTGGTACATTTACTTATGATAGTCCAACTTTGATTTGTTGTTAGATGAGCTAGGCCTGTTTCACACTGTATGTGAAAGCAGCAGATATTTCAGCAACAATACTAATAGGCTATTCCCAAGCAATGGCACTGCATATCAGAAGTGTAGGTGTGAGTTGTGTTTCAGCTCTGAACCTATTTTTAAAATGTGTACCACGCTAAACTTAGTGGAAAATACTTTGAAAAAATACTACAATCCTATTTTTAACACAGTCTTTTGAAATACAGGCTTACATAATGCACAAACAGCAACATAACGCACTGGAGCAAACTGCTCACATATTGTTTGAAAAAAGGCATCTGTCTGGGTCAATGCAAGTATAATACAGTGACAGAGACAAACAACACTTTCTTGCAGATATACTGTTGGTGTGAAAGCGGTTGCAGTTACACTGTTGAAACTGTGTGAAACTCAAATTCAAATCACCATAATGTGAGTAAACAGGACTTATAGGACCTCATTTAACAGGCTGGCTTATGATGATATTTACAAACTGATAGCTAAGAGATCAGACACGTACGAACAATATTACATTATGATAAAGGGAGTTTTCCAAAGTCTAATAATGCATTAGGTACGTAATATACACACCCAAAGCAAAGCAAAGCAAATATTACGACCTTCTACCTTCAACTATGCTAAATGTGGGTGTAACACATACAATCACAATACCATGCAGTGAGTTACGTCATCATCACACAAATATTACCATTATACTTCCACAAGCAAATGTATAGAAAAATAAGCTATTGTATCTTACATTTCCCAATCCTTAGTATTACTACTTCTACTCATTCCATGCCATTGTTACTAAGGTGCTCATGGGGGAAATGTTACTAACAATACAAGTAAATGTCAACACTGATAGCACCTGTTGACAACCATTAATGCGAATATGAAATATCGTCTCAGAAATTGACATTCGGTGAAATTTTAGTCGCACGTAACGTTACAGACTTAAAAACAAAGATAGTAGAAAACGTTTCACCATTTTATGTCATGATAACTAATTAAGGGTAAAAACATCTCGCAGTGCAGTTAAAGAGATCAACAATGTCTCTGCAATCACAAGTTATGCAAATACACTGAATTTATATGGATGTGACGGTGCTATTACTATTCTGTTAATACAATATGTCACTTTAAAACCGCTACTGCATGAGAACTGTGGTTACTATGCACAGAGATATGAATCCCCTCATTGCGAATATGAACTTTGCAATGGTTTTTAAGAACGTGTCGTTGCAGTTTCTGTGCTAAAGCTCTGTTTTTATGTAGTTTGATGCTCAGTGTTGATTTATTGCTGTTTTATGTGCATAAACACATCCTTGAAGGCCCTGGCCTGTGATCGCACTGGTATTCCTATTGGCTGAAAATAAAGTCGTAACACGACTGCACGGTGAGCCCATTGGATTCCTCTTTTTCTGCACGAAATAACGTAAAATCTTGTGCCTCACCTTCCAGAAATGCCCTCCGGCTCGATCAGGGGACTCTTGGTTAATTTGGAGCATGCGCCACATTAATTAGGTGAGTAGATCGACACATCTTCATAAATGTTTCTCCACAGCCATTTTTGGGCGAGACCTTAAATCCCAAACGGTGGCTGTTACAAAGTGGAAGTGTGGGATATTTATGATAAACGCAAAATAGTGCACCATAAATTATACATTTTGATACAAAATGAAATACTGTTTGTTATAAAGCGTAATATTTAAGCAAAACACCCTCGATATTTGCTCATAATCCAATGACAAAGTTCCACATCCACCCCTTTTAAGGAAAATGGTACGGCTCAGGCAACACCGGTTTACTTCTGTGAATGCAGCCAATCAGAGACGATTAAAATTTCACTCTCCAATCAGAGCACCGCCTACTTTATGACGAAGGTACTGTCGGCGTTTTTTTTTTTATCAGATTCAAGGAACTGCGGGAAATCTGAGGCAGACGACGTAGTCAGTTGAACAGGGATTATGCCGTAATCTTCTTCATGCATGTAAAGGGGCATTACTCCCAAACAATACCAATGCAATAAGACTAGCGCTATAGGTTTTCAGCGGTGACAGACAGCGCTAGCCTACATATTTAACTACACTAGGCTGTAATTAAACTAGAAACTAGACAAAATGAGTTTGGAACTGCCGAGAGAGTAAAAGTGAAGACACTGTTGTTTATGCAGACACTGCACTGCACTGTATAGGTTAAGTGACATGTCACTAAAAAATGAAAATTATTTTGCTATTCTACTTATTGTGACATACAATGGTTGCTTGGCAGAATGTCCAAGCTTCATTTAGATTTTTTTTAATGATTATGTTTACTATTTTTTATTTATTTTGCTTTTATAGTTTTTGTATTTTTAGCATTTCAAATTTGTATTATACCTATTTGAATGAAAATATGTTAAATTGCTAAAGTAACATGAATTAAGAATTTCTTAGTATTTTATTTATCTTCCTTTTGCTTTAAAAACAACTCCACTCAAAAAAGTTTACATGTCACTTTTTTAATAATGTTATGCCACTGTTTCTTTATTCTAAAATCCTAAAGCTAAAAAAAAATCCAGATTTTGAATTATATTTTAATTCCAGTTTACAATGTGCTGATAAACTCAGAATATGTTCAGAATATTTTTGTTTATCCAGCCACTCCAACCATTTTTTTAGTTTGTCATAGTCACACATTAATGTTGCTGGCAGTATGTGAGAATGTGCATGTACAGTACATGCTCAGAATTTTTTTTCCCAAAAATTGTACAGCTTGTCACGGGCAGTAGGCCTACCCTCAAAGGGACACCTTTGTACCTAAAGGGTGCATGTTAGTACCATAACATGTTATTACCTTAAAGGGGTACATATTACTTCTCCAAGGTACTAAAGAAGGTTCAAAGGTGTCCCTTTAAGGGTACTTCCCCAGTGACAAGTACAATTAGGTAAAAAAGGTAAAATTTTTGCACATTTTTTTTGTAGCGTATGCATAATATGTGTAATTTCCATTTGTTTTAAAAGGTAAAGATATATATTTGATTATTTCTTAGGACAGTGCAAGGGTAGAAAGGAAGCATTAGAAGAGGTGAAAGGGGAACAGGGTTTGGGAAACAACTTGAGTTGGATACTCAAACTTGGGTTGCCCCAAAGCACTGCTAAATAAAAAAGCACTTCCCACATATCTATCTGATACAGGGTGAAACATAAACACGTATGTGCTTAAGATTAAAAAAAGGAATATATTTGAATAAATTACAAATTGGAATTTAGACTCCAAAAGTAACCGTGAAAAGAAGAATTTCATTTGTCAAGAACCATTTTAAATTTAGACAGTTGTATTTATATAGGAGTGGCTCACAGTCACAGCCTTTTCCCTTTTTAAACGCAGTAGGAGGTTAGTTCACTTATGTGAACAACATGTGACCTTGCAAAAAACATTCAGAAAAAGGGAAAAATTCAGAAAAACCTCTCTCCAGCATCTTCAAATTAGTGTTAACCCAGTGTTTTTATTGTGTGCCTTCATATGTCTAGCAAACAGACACATAGCCCAAACAATTTACATGAGCAATAGGAAATTTTGCCTCGTGCATTTTGAGGTGTACTGTATTGTTACTGACTAAACTTCATATAACCTTGATGTACTTGAACCTTAATGTAATTTCAGCAGTTACCTTCATCTTTCTTAGAGTCAGTGCGGGAGAATCTGAGTTCCATAGTTCAAGGCTTAGGCTGGACTATAAACATAGAGAGAATCAATGAAACTCCTTCTGTTGTAAACAATGAAATGGACTCACCCCACCCTCATTTATTCTGTCTCCTTTTCAAGATATTTATCAAATAGCAAAACGAAACACTTGTCCATTCACGCAGAAGTGCATCCAGATGGCAATAACTTGTGTTTACAAAAAGAAAAAGCGTCAGTAAGAAGTCAGATAAAAAGAAAAGGTTCTCTTAAGTTAGTTTGTTTATAGTCTCTCTTTCTTTCCCTCCTCCTTCACTTGTCTCAGGCATATTTGTAATGGTTTATGGATGTCTGTTCTGTAACAGGAGTCATTTGAATGTTTTTGTCTGTGAAATCTGTCATGGTCATTAGAGAAAAGGTGAGTCGGTGAATTGTTCCACTGGGACCTGCAAGTGCGATGACCTGGCTGTTCATCAGCCGTCTAGCATAAAACCGAAAGCTTACGGGATTCTTTTTCACTCAGGTTGATTTCAAGGAAACTTGTGTTTTGGCTTCTTCTGAAAAACTCTAAATGCCACATTGAAAGTGGTAGTGGAGAGCTTCCTCAAATAGTTATTTTGCAGCCTCCAACTTTGCCCTCTGCCGTAGCAGAAGTACACCTGACATAGCTTTTCAGTTATGCATCATCAACCAGGGTTTTTTTCTTGGTTATGTCTTTTGACGTTTGTCTTTAACACCCACAAAGTTGACACTATAGGTCCATGACATGCTAGTCCAATGCATGTAGTGAAAAAACAATGAGTGTCTTTTTATTTATTTGGCATGCTTTCCCTTCGTTTCTTTTCTCTCTATACACATTGTAAGTTATTATGAGTTGAGAGGCTGAGTCTGTAGCTAGTTGCAGCTTTCATGACTGCTAGACCCATATGTCTAAGCGGAAAACAAAACTTAGGAAAGTAATAAGGAGGATGTCCAAATGCCTTCTGTGGAAAAAAAGTCCCTGCACAGAAAGCACCTGGATAATGATTGTTTCTCTCTTTCTTTCTGTTGGTTTCTCTTTTTATTTCTCCTTTTCTCTCAGGTGTATTCACATCTGTACCTAAATGTGAAGGATTCTTCGATATGCAGGGCCTATGTGTGTATGTGCGAGTGTGGGAAGCACATGATTCTTCCTCTCAGACATGCCAGCAAAATGAGCAGAAGAAAGATCTTGGTGTTCCAACATACACAAAATAAATTTTAGCTGTGGTTGTGAGGTGAATTTTTTGACGGAACATTTGGAATGGATGTCCACTAATCTGCGTGACAGACTTAGCTCACCCGTACAACCTGGATGATCCAGAAAAAAAATCCTGTCTCATACATACACACGCACATTAGCGCAATTCAGCTATGGTACTTCTTCCTACACATACATTTTTTCCCCATAAAAGACTCCTGGGCACTCAGATGTTAGATCTTGAGTCACACGTTTTACAATCAACAAAATATTTAAAAGTACATTAATCAATATCTGTTTACACATCTTTGTCATTTTTAGTTAAGCTGTGAACGTTTGATGCAATAATTGAAATACTGCCTTTAAATACTATAATAAGCTTTCAGAAAGAACTAGAGTTTGTGTTTGGTCATGGCACACCAATGATCATGAATTTTGCGCATAAATTGCAACAATTTTCAATGCATATAAGACGTTTTGATAAGATTTCTATCCAATCTGCATTAGGTTTCAAGCAGAATTTGATTGCAGTTTGTGTTCTAAGAAACTGCTGATTCACTGGATGCTTTGTTTTGGGTGTGACCAAATTCTCCTGGGCGTCAGAGCTACAACCCTGTCCAGGGACACTCCAGAGAAGAGGAAGTGAGATCATAATGACTTTGTTCTTGGGAAGACATCTCAATCTTGCCTTCAAAACATTCCATTGTTGGGCCCTTGAGTTTTCCTGGGCTCTTGAATCGTTTTGTCGTCATGGCATTTGTGTTTGCGTTTTCCATGAGCAGCAGTAACTTCAGCACAACGCTGGAGCTTATGAAACAAGTAAACACAGATTTTGTGGCTTTGGATTTTTCTGGATCATGTCACAAACAATCAGCTAATTTTCTGGCCACAGAAATATAAGATTTAGAAATCACTTTTTACTCAAAATTTTCTGCACAGATGTATCTGCCGTACTTGGCTCAGGGAAGACAGCTTTTAGTATAAATGTGCACTTTATGTCCAAAGTTTTTAGTCCCCAATAAAATGTGGCCATTAGTCCATGTCAATAAGCTTTGAGGTTATTTATATGCTGTGTACTTCAAAAAGTTGACAAAACTATTTCTTCTGGAATACAGATATTGATAACTCATCTTGCATTCAAGAGTATATCCAAGTTTTTGCATAGCAGTAGCACATTTAATTATGCTTCTGTGACATATAAAAAAAAAAAATCTGTTGGTTATATTATAAAAGGGGACGGTGAGCCCTTCAGTACATCCCACCCAAACTTCCTGTTTCATGTCAACACAAAACGATGCTCGTCAAGCCATTTCATGAGGTCTTCAAATCAGTTTAGTTTCTGGAAAATGCCTGTTTGAGTTACCTTGATCCTTGATGGTCTGTCCCTAGGTTAAGATTATTACATTTCTGTTTACTGTCATGCTGTAATGGAAGATGGCTAATGCTTCATGCTGAACGCATTCCCAAGGGTCGCTTGAGTTTCTCTGTTTTTTTTTATCTCCATCCATTATGATCACCACACTCTTTTTCTTTTTCTTTCTTTCTTTCTTTCTGCTTAGTCTTTAATACATACCTGTCAGTTTCTACCATAATCCTCCGCTTGTTTTTTTACTCTATCTCTCTCTGTTCCTCCAGTTGCCACCTGTGTTTCTCTTTCATTCCTGTTGCTTTCTGTTCCTCTCCTCTCTCGCCACTTTTAATCACCCGTTT